CCGCCCCGCAGGGCCACCACCCATGTCCCCAACAGGCCACCACTGATGTCCCCTGGGACCTCCAGCGATGTCCCCGGTGCTGCCGTGGTCCTACTGCGGCGCCTCAGCCCCGCGGTCCGTCCTGCTGCCACCTGTCGAGCTGGGGACAACGGGGACAACGGCTGCAGCAACCCATGTGCCCCCCCTGCCACCCGCTTGGGGACATCCCTGTGTCCCCACCTGGGCCCGGGTGGCAGGCGGTCGCTGACGTCCACGTCCAGCACAAAGGGGGACGAGGCCTCGGTGGTGTCTGTGGGGACAAGGGGACATGGTGGCGCCAGGAGGGGGACATGGGGACAGCACAGAGGACATGGGGACACTCACCTGCTTCCCAGTCCTCATGGCAGGGGGGGCCCTGCCAGGCGCTGGTGTCACCGGGGGGCTCAGGACCCAGCTCTGTGGGGGGGACACATTGTGGGGACATGTTGGGGACACCTTGGGACATGATAGAGACACACTGGGAACACTTAGGGGACATGTTGGGGACCCCTTGGGGACATTCAGGGGTCTAATTGTTGGGGACACCTTGGGGACATGCAGGGGACACCTCAAGGATACCTTGGGAACATATTATTGGGGACACTTGGAGACTCATTGTTGGGGACATGCAAGAGCCACCTTGGGGACACGTTGGGGACACATTTGGGACTGGCTGTTGGAGCCAGGCAAAAGCCACCTTAGGAACACGCTGGGGACACATTGGGGATGCTTGGGGACAGGTTGTTGGAAACCGTTTTTTGGGGACATGCAAGAGCCACCTTGGGGACACTTGGGGACACCTGGGGACACGCACCGCAGAAGAGGTCGGGCTGGCGGTTGTCGGCGCAGGTGGCCACGTGGCTCTGCAGCTGCCCCCGGGGCACCTTGTGCCGCGCGTTGTAGGGACACGTGGCCAGTGTCCGGGCCACCTTCTCGTGGCTCTGCGGGACACGGGCGCGTGGGGACGATGGGGCCACCTCCGAGAGGCCCCCGTGTGCCCGTGGCCCCAGTAACCCCCCCACTAGCCCCAATACCCCC